GATGTTGATATTAAAAACATAAGTGTTAAAAACAAATTTTAATCGTAGTTACGATGGACTTCCCTTCATTTTACTGCTGATTCCAATATTGAAATATTTATTCATTTTCTATAATAAATATTAAACATTACATACTCTTTCAAAGATTATGTTTTTCCATTGGTACTAATTTTTTGCCGCTAAATCTCACGTATGCGAGCTCCATCTACGTCTTAAAATAATTCAGTCTTCGATGTTTTCTCATCAATGAAAATCTTCAAATCTTTCAATATAGAAAAAATTTCATTTAAACTAAATGAATGAACAGCTGTGACAGGCATTGTTTTCCAGATGCATGTAAGATATTTCAAAATTGTATTGACATCAGTGATACATAGGTTTGCTACCTTATCATCTTGAGAATTTCTCTAGTTATCTGTAATAGTTGTACTAGAAAAAATTGCTCATTTAATTTATTAAGATAAAATAATAAAGAAAATATCATTGCACATTAGGGACGCCAAAATATTAACAATGTTTAAGTTATTGCTGCAGTCTGATGATGATATTAGTATTACAAATGTTCAAGAAGAAACATCATTAGATTTATTTGCATTGAGATATGATCTAGAAACTTTACACTCTGCTTTGTCTGTGAAAAATGGTATCAAGAATATATTAATGTCTGATGGAACTAGTAAAATGTTAGATTTTTTGTTAGCTATGAATGATTGTGGCACATTTAGCAATCTTTTACGAGATCTAGAAGATGTGAATGTAATTGTACTTGTAACCTTGAAGGTGAGAATGGGCGAAGAAACCATTTGCTGAGGAGATATTTTTGGTAGGGTACAGGATGAAAGGGCAGGTTCGCACATCAGAGTGCATATACAAATATTCAAACTTACCGGCCACGTTGAGACATGTTTGGACCGTCAAAACTTCCACTCAGCTGAAAAAACCACATTTCTTCGTATTGGCTTTTCAAACTAAATAGAAGGATGAGAAATCTGCCAATGCAAGCGAATTTGATCACTGCAATATCACTAACGTCAAACTGTTTTTCAATTCGCAGTACAACCCATATGGAAATCTTTATCTCAACATTAGTCAAAATCAATACGCCATGCTCTACGATATACTTGCAAATTTTCAAAATTCTTACTACAGTAAAGATACGGAGCTCATACTCAACAAGAAAAATTTCATTAAGAAAGTACCGCTCATAGCGATTAACTGCTCGAAACAAAACGAATCTCTCAAGGTACGCTGGTCGGCGTAAAACGTAAGTTAGAGGTCAGAGAGAATTTTCCGGATAATACAGCGGCCTATTGTCTGATTCTACATGATCGCATTGTACAGTACAATCATGTTGGTGAAGACGTGAAAAAAATGGTGTAATGATTGACTGAAAAAGGCGGTCCGACGGGAGGGGATACGGGTATAAAACCAAATATAGCACGAGCAGTCATTCATATTCGAAATGTCTTTCGTGGTGGACGTGCAGGGATTCAAGCAGTCTAGAGGCGATTTCATCCTGAAGGAACTAGTCATCATTCCTCTCGAGTACGACGCAAAACCTCTAATGCGACTCTTCGAGCCGCCATTTTCCTGGAAAAGACTAATACAAAAATACAGGAAGGAGAACTCTTGGCGTGAACGTCATCTTCACGGTATCTCTTGGAGTTCGGGTAACTGACCTTACAACGCATTTGGTAAAATCATCAAAGGAACTTTAGGAAAAGCGAAAAAAGTGTTTATCTCCGGAACCGCAAACAAGGAGTGTAGAGATTCAGATTGCCTGTTCTCGGCTACGGAAGGGCAAAAGAAGCTAAATTAGTCACAGTATGTTCACATCACAATAGATTAAGCCTCAGTGTGCACTAAACAACGCCAAGTTGATGAAACAGTTCTATTTTGATAACGTGTATATGAACTGGCAGCCAATCAACGAATAAAATGGGACAAAACCAGAGTAATGGATGTATAAAACTCAACGGCAAAGATGAAGGAAGGAGAATAAGAAAACAAAGGGAAGATAAAAGTACTTGGAAGAAGTATTCTGAAAAATACTCATCCAATATTAATACTTTCCCCAAAAATGCTGGCTATAAGAAAATCTAAAATTGCTAGATAAAAAAAAATTTTTTAAGGATCAGAAAGATTAGTTATCGGTTTAATCTCACGTGAATCGGTTGAATCTGGTTGAGCCCTAGCGTGGTGGGGCTCCTATCACTTAAATTCGTCACTCAATTACTTTAATCAAAATTTTGCTTTTAAATTAATTTTTAATAAAAATAGTTTATCAAATAGTGTAAAATTCAATTATTTAATTTTTTAGTAAATAAATTTTAACAATAATTATAATTTATTACAGAATTCATTTATTAAATAAATTTTACCACTAATTTTATAAATAGAGATGAAATTTCTCTCACAGACATATCAGTTAGCTGATACAACCAAAAACACTAGCTGTTTCAGTGCGGAAACAGTATTGTCATTTATTTATACTAATAAATAAATTTGCGACTCTTTTATTGCATTTTTAGGCTAGGGACGTCTTCACTAACCATAGTAATACATTTTTTTTCCATAAATAACTGCATTCGGCTTCGTGAAAACCCTGTCGTGGTTTTAAAACATGGAATGCATTATTTATAATAATAAATAAATTTGCGAATCTTTTATTGCATTTTTAGGATAGGGATGTCTCGACTAACAATAATACATTTCTTTTTCATAAATAACTGCATTCGGCTTCGTGAAAACCCTGTGGCGGTTCTAAAACACGGATTGCGTCATCCGAGAGCTCTCGAATGTTTTAGAACCACCATACTTATGTACTTGCTTATATTATAAAAAATTTGCAAAAAAATAATACTTAAAAGATTAAATAAAATATTAATAGAGCAAAAAATAATATCAGAACATCAATTCGGTCCCCGTGCTACAATATTACAAATACTGTAATGCAGCCTTTCTTGATGTAGCTCAAGCTTTTTATAAAGTATAGCACGAAGGACTTTTATATAAACTTAATAAAATTGTACCAAAAGATTTCTACTTATTGCTAAAATCTTATCTAAGTTCTAGAACTTTTCTAGAAACTAGAAAGTAAGGATAAACTGAACTACACCCACTAAAAGCCGGAGTCCCCCAAGGAAAAGTTCTCGGTCTCATATTATACTTAGTATATACCCATGATCTCCCATCCATGGAAAACGTCAACATCGTTACGTACGCAGACGATACAGCTATACTAATATCATATGCTAATGAAGCAACAGCCTCCTACAATATGCAAAAATATTTGGATACAGCAATAAACTGGTTTAACCAATGAAGGATAATGATAATTGAAATCAAATCAATTCAAATAACATATATCAAAAAAAAAGGAACTTATCCACCAATATATATAAACAATCAATCAATCTCACAAGGAGACAAACCAAAATATCTTGAAATGTACCTAGATCGTCGATTAATACGAAGAAACCATATATTGACTAAACGGAAACATCTTAATCTACAGATGAGAAAATATTATTGGCTTTTTGGAACAAAATCCAAACTCCATTAAAAATTAACTACTTATATATAAATCCATAATTAAACCGATATGGATATATGGCATACAGCTCTGGGGTACAGCCACAAAATCAAATATTGATATAGAAAGATTTCAAAATAAAACACTACGTTCCATCACAGATGTACGATGGTTTGTCACAAACGAATATATAAGAAAAGATGCTAATATACAAACTGTAACAGAAGAAATAATAGAAGCTTGCAGAAAATATACCAATAGGATAAAGGAGCATTCAAATCGCCTAGCCAAGTAACTAATGCACACAACACCAACAACAATTCAAAATTCAAAAAATATAAATTAGCATTTATAAAAAACTAATATAGCATACAGTATTTAACACACTGGTCCAGAACATTGATGAAGCATCTATGTGTAATATTACAAATATTATTGTCACTAATCGCTGATTATTGTAATACCATTTACTCATTGTTCAATATACAGATTATAAATAATATTGGAAATAAAAAAAATTATACAAGTATATAAGAGAAATCAGACAATGGATTAACATTTCCAGTTCCATAATTTCTAGGCTGGCGGATAATTTTTGTAATATATTATACTACGTGTATAGCGATTAGGCTTGAACATCGGCTCGAGCATACAGTAATTAAATCGTAAATAAAATAGTTAATTGTTCTAAAATAATAATGAAAATTATTTTTTTTAATTAATAGACTTCAAATTCTTATGGAAGATCTTATTGTCTATTTCCAGGAGGATATTCATGAAATCAAAATTAGTTAGGATACATTATATAATGAAGAAAATTGATTTTATAATGATAATAATTATTAATTATTTTATTGAAAAAATTATTAATTTGTAAAAAATTCGTACAAATTTTTATTCAAGATCTGAATGAGATATGTATGAGATATGTACAAATCTTGTACAAGTTTTGCAAAAGTTTTGTACAAGTTTTAAACAAATCTTCTACCAATTTTGTACACAATTTTTATGTTTTTTATAGAAACTGTGCACAGGTTTGATACGTATGTTTTCAGTGGGGAGCCTTTTATGTAACGATGACCGTATGTACCTACAATATGTATACTTATAACCACTTGGAGGAAGTTTCAATGTTTCTTGCATTTACTTTGATTTTAATGTCAAGTTTCGCGTATGAATTTTAAATTCTTTTCTTCCCCAGCTGGTTCCAACTCCAACAAATGTAACATCGATTTCTTCCTGCTATATAAAGCTTTGTTACTAAAAAATAACTTCGATTTAAAGAATTTTATTGAAATAAAAAGATAGATAGTCGCTATAATGGCCCAGTTGTCGATTCAAAATTGATAAAATTTAAAAAAATTAAAAAAGTAAGATTAAAAAAGTAAGATTAAAAAATAGATGCATTTTATTGTATACATATGTGTTTGTATGCGCTTATGTATGAAAATATCGCTAGCCCATGAACAAAGTGGTATAGAAGCGGTCAGTATCTATTTGGATACTATTCGCACTCAACGCTCTTTAACTTTGCTGATCGTCAACACGTGTATCTCTGCCATGCAAGAAAAAGTCGGTTATATCCTATCTCGTATATTTACCGTGTATAATAAAAAGTATAGTTAAAACAATATATTATTACGCTTAATGCAGATTAATTTAAATAGTTGAAAAATAAATTTACAACATTCAATTTCAATAGATACATAATTTCGTTGCAAAAACTTGACTCATAAAATTTTTTATTACATCAAACATCTATTTGTAAAGTAATACATTAATTACTGCATATGAATATAATAAATTTGTTATTAAATACTATATACTTAATCGTGTATATTTCATGATGTAGGTTTTATGTGCTTAAAAAAATAGTTTATAACGTTTAATACATAATACGATCAATGATTTTTATATTAAAATCAATCGGATACTAATAATACTAATAATAAAAATCAGTCACTCTCTCAACAGCAGAATAACTTTTCATCTAAACTTTTGAGCCTCTGCCTTGCCATATTCAGGTTTATGAAGAATACAGTAGCCCAAATGAAAAAATTGCACCAGGACGATATTAAGGCAATTTGGAGAGCTAAACCAGTATTGATTATGTCCCCCCGCCGCCAATTGTTGGCATCTGGCTGAATGTAATCCATGAAATCAAGAATCGCTCCGCATGACAGTCTGTTATGGATTGCCTGGTAAAAAATAGATTTAATATGGAATTAAAGATAACTTTCAAGTTCATGTAATATAGTACGAAAATTCGTACTAAAGATTTGTTAATTGCTAATTGTTTTTTGCAGTTGTCATTAATAAATATATCAGAATAATATACTTATGAGTAATTGCTAAGCTCGGATTTCATTACAGAAAAACTGTTTAGTCATAAAATTTTCCGTACGAATTTGAAATTAAAAAAAGATAGAGCGCGGACGCAAGTAGTAAAGATCTCGATTGATCAGACTGAATGTTATGACAAGTGATAATTCCATGGATGAATCTCTAATGTATTTTGAGACAGTGTACAAGTAAGCAACAGTTACCTGAAGTTCTTGGCCAGTAGAGTTGAGTAAACGAACCAAATTTCTGCGATACTGCTCGCAAGTCTTGTAATACCCGTCAGTGAGAACGACTGCATGAGCGAGGGAGAGGCAACATATGAGTATGGCTATGAAGCCAGCCGGTACCCATTGCTTGCAGGGTGACCTTTGCTTCGGCCCAATTACCACCACTCGACCCTCGGAGTTATACCTGAAATCAACGCTACTAGCAATTATGTTATATAGGAGCTCTTAAAGCTTTCGAGCGATTCGAGCATCATTCTTACAGGCTACATCATTTCAGATCGAGTGCAGAGTTACAAGCTGAAAGGTTCAGCCTAGACAATGAAGCTTGAAAGCCCAGGCCGAGCTAAAGCACGAGCCCAATAAACGGTGAAGCTTTCGACGAGTACCTGGTGTCGCTGTCGCTCGTGGCACTGATAGTTCGCGGCTCGCCAAGCGTGCGAGGTATGCAGCTGCGGTAAGCGTGATAGATGCCAAGCACAAGGCCGATGAATACCGCTGGCGCGAGACCCGTCGAGCCGAACACGCAGAGCTTGCTGTCACCGCCCATAAAGGTACTGAACGTGTTGACCCCGTAGAGGATGCATCCGCAATCGACGTCTATGCAAACGTCGAGGGTCCAGGTCCAATGTTGCCACGTCACCGCCAGAGACGATACGGAGATCACCGATGCTGCAGCTGCACCCAGGTACAGCACTCCCAGCATGTACTCGGCTTTCGCCGCGTCCATCGTTGCTCTCATCCTTCAAAGTCGTCTCATCAGTGACCAAGTGGTTTCGGCTTTCCTTTATTTAGCTATATATCGGGTGTCGCAGATGTCAAGTAGCGCCTGCTGGTTGGACTCGCATCGTCCGCTGGGCTCGCGGCAGAACTTACACTTGTACTGAAATTATATCGCGCTTAGGTCACCATTTGTCGACGATGGAATGAATCGGGCCCGTAGATCCGGAACAAGCTACTTTTCGCGAAATCAGTCTACAGAAACGTTTTTCTTTTCGATGGGAATATTCTCATCGTCATTGCCGGAGTTACTCGTGCCGAAAGCGTCACACAGCAATAGCTGCAGCGTCGACGTTAGATTAATGCGATTAAGGTCCATGCGCGAGCAATGGCCAGTCCAAACAATCGTAAAAGTGCAGAATTGATTCGTCAAGATCGTGCGCGAGTCAGGGAGACGGTCGATCCGACGGAAAACGATGCGTCGGAAGTAAGCATACTCCAACATCAAGGGCACTTATAAATAGGACGTTTGTGTTTGAGATTGATGCGCACAACGGAGCCGACCGTTTACGAGCATTTGCTCAAGTCCACTCTTTTATTCAGGACATCGATTTTTCTTTCCAACCATCCTCCGTTCGGCTCGCGAGTGTAATGTCAATGTTTTTCCGGAAGCGCGCACGGAGTAAGTACGACCACCTACTTCATTTATTTTTTCCGTTGGAGCGCTTTTGCCATTACACCCAGTTGTAAGCTGCTTATATTATAAACATGGATTCGTTCTCCTAATATTTATGTTACATTGAAAGCTACTTTATAATTGATTTAATAGTAGACTATCAACGACACTTTCATGTGTGTTATCAACTTCTAGCGATTAAGATTTTCCTTCATACCATATGATGTTTTCAAAGTTATTACAACTACGTAAGTATTCATAACAAAGAGTAAAGAAATATGTTTTCAGGATGCGGTGCGCTTGACTATATAGTTACGTTTACAATGCCAACAGTCACGCCTTTGAGTACTTGGTATCGAAAATGAATTACTCATGTTTTTGTAAAACTAAGATTACAAAATGATTTCGAATCTACAACTAAAACTACGACAAATCTTTATCCAGTCACACGTAAATTAAAAAGACATAATTGTATGTTCCTCAAAAGCCTAAAAATGCCAGCTATTGATTTTGTTCCAAGAAGCTACAAATGTCAAAAATCATATCGCATCGAAATTTTTCGCTCACTTCCGGCAAGTAAAGACTTACGATGTAGATTATTCTACGAACGTACGCTCAGTCAACATTGTAAAAAATCAGTAAAGATTATGCTGCGTCTTGTATTTACTCGCCAATCACCGTCGATGATTATAAAGAAAACATAAATTAAGCAACACTTCATCCTTAGAAACTATTTTATCGTCGTCACATATGAAATCGTTCGAAAAATTCTCGAATGTCAAACAAAATAACGGTCTGGTCAGTAGACAATATTCTATAACAAAAGCAATCAAGCTTAATGGATCGAAAAAAGCGCTTGAAGTGATGACTTCCCTGGCGTAATTAATTTTTGAGTAATATTTTATTCACAAGTAATTTCGTTTGACCGAATGGTCAGTCATTTTGGCTTTTACTTCTATTAATTTTGACGATTGTGCGAAATACACAGTAATGGTAGGAAAGAAGACTGACGACCATGATGGCGTCCTTGACTGATCAAAGTCCTCATCAATTAGCTACCGAACGCTAATGCACTTATCGGTTTGACTGCGGAACGTTTACATGTGTGCAAGGGACTATGCTTCCCAACGCGCGGATAAACCCACTTGCGCGCCAGATAGAAGAGAGGGAACTCAAATATTTGCTTTTACCGCCTATGTGCAACGCAATCAAACACGCTGGATAAAAAATAATAGTATCTTGCGTGCAATTGAATTTTTTGCAGGATTTGCACGATTTCCTTGGAAGGAATGTATTTCCAAGAGCTGACAATTTCACAGCGCGACGTTGCTCTTTGAAATACACAAAACAGATAATAATTGAAGTTGCAGAGGCGACAATCTGTTAGGAAAAATATCGTAATCTCCTGTCGTCGTTCGCTGTAAATCGACATTGATAAAAACGCCCTGTACTCGTTCACTATGAAAATTTCAAGTATGAAAATTTTGCACGTTTGAGCGTTAGCGATGCTTTTTTATATACTGTACACCAATACAGCTAGAAATTAGACCAATACAAAAAACAGGTTCCCTGAACCTACTATTTTGTAACACGAAGACATACAATATTAATAGAATCCTACGTTTACACACGATAAACACGATTAACTGAGCATTTCAAAAGTAACAAATTTCTTTAAGAGTAGGCACAATTAAAAAAACACAATTAAAGAATAATCATATTCTCCTTACAGCAATAAACCACAATAAACCATTGATCGAAAGTGTGTATCGTCGAGCGAAAGGCGATAAGACAATTTTTTTATAATCTCGATGGAAGTATGAGAGAGTGATCGTTACTTACCCCGAGACAATGCACTTGTCTTTGATGGAGAATTCAAGAACAAGCTAACAATCACGAGAACGGGACTTTTAAAAATGAGCTAGCGCGTGCGAGAGGAGTTGAATGGCGACTGCAAGAATTGGACTTTTTGGAGAGACGGGTTTGTCGAGAAAGCGGGTGCAGGCGCTTATTACGGTGAAAACGCCACTGATGAGACTGCTCGTCTTAGTTAAGACACTATCAGATAAGATTAGAACCGATGATGCGCGTGAAAGCAGGTGCGCGTTTGTTTGACGATCGTCTCGAAGCTTCTCTCTCTCTCTCTATATATATATATATGCTCCACTTTTTTATGGGATACATAGCTGTTCATATATTAAGCTTTCGATTTGGGTACAACTTTCGTACTATTTCATGTAATTTTGACAAAACCTGCTCCAAGTAATAATATTAACAATAATATGGATGAATTATAATCTTTATATACCTCCACAAAATTATTTTTGTGGAGGTATATAATAATTACATTTTGAACGCTACCGTTCAAAATGTAATTATAATAAGGTAGTACTATGTCTAAGAGAAACAAAAATGTAAATCTTTATTTTGATACTTAGAGGATATGTGTGTATTAAAGTGCTGAGAAGTATGGTTCAAATTTTGTGACACTTCAGAACTTGAAAAATAAGATATTAGCGATTAAAAGTAACATATGTGATCTTATAGGAACTCACATTTTTGACTGTTTATAAAAGCATTCATAAATGGAAAAATTCTGAAGTAAGCTGAAATGATTCTAGAACCTATGCGCAAAAATATCATTTGATGCCTGAGAAAATAGAAAATAATTTTGATTACGGTTGTTTAAAAAATTGGAGGTTAAACACGGATATAGATGATAGCAAAAGCTTCTGACGGTCATTATGCGAGTCTTATACCGGTATTTACGAGACATAATATTTTTCATTTATTTTTATTTTTCTGATAAATACCTATTCAAAAACTGATTCACCTGTAAACTTTTTTCTTTGCACTAGAATCGTCAAATCACTCATCTCTTGCTTCAATTCAGTAATGTTCAATTTTACGCTTGAATCAAAATGAAATTGTTATAGACGAAAAGCTAAACATAACAATAAAGATATTTAATAAATTTATATGTCTTTATATAAATAAATGTAATTGGAGTGCATTAAGATTATACTTTTTCGTATTAATTTAAGGTTAGGCTGTTGAGAAAATGTGCGTTTTATTATCTTTACAATATCTACAAATTGTTATACTTTTTTTTATTCGTTAAATTAATTGAGTATCAATCGATGTAAAATGCCTAGGTTTATCACTTATAGTGCCAATTTGCTCATGACAGTAACTCACGTGACTATATTCAGCCAATCATATCACAAATAAAATGACTTCACTCCGCATGTCATTACATTTTTATAATTAAAAAAAATAAATAAAATAATTAAAATTTGCTCATGACAGTAACTCACGTGACTATATTCAGCCAATCATATCACAAATAAAATGATTTCACTCCGCATGTCATTACATTTTTATAATTAAAAAAATAATTAAAATAAAAAATAAAAATATAGGAAAATTTTTTAGGAAAACAAAAATTGAATTTTGAATATTTGAAAAAGTATATACACCAACCTCAATGCTTGTTAAATGTGCGCGATTTTCTCTTACTATAATTGCATATAAAAAATGTATATATTATTTAAACCAAATGTCAATTTATTATGCATATTTTAATGTACAATGTTTTCGCTATTAGCTCGAGTTCGCAGTTGTTCAATTCTCACTAATTAATTTATTGTAACATACGTGTATCCACACAGAAAGGTTAAAATCTTTACATCTCTTTAAACTTTACATCCTACATTTTTCGTTTTACTATATACAAATATCCTCTTATAATTCAACAATCGGAATCGTCTATAGTTTTTTAATCGAATGCTAATTTCTTTATTCGTGCAATGTCTCGTTCGACTTACAATTCGTCATTTTCAATTACGTACAAAAATTGGAAGGGAACTTCACCGGTAATAACTAGAAGTCACAGATGATGAATTGTCAGTTAAATCTGCAATTCAAACAGTGAAAAAAAACACTTTTTAATGCATTTGTATTATTGAATAAGACTCATTGTAGCATTTTTAATATTTGTAGCTTTTTAGTTGGGGAAAAAAGTTCTATTTACTATAATGACAATAAAAATTTATAAACGATTTCAAACTCATTAGCTGAACAGGTGCATTATGGAGAAATGAGTTACGTTTTATAAGGATGGTGAATTGATGTATACAAGGAGCCAATTTTCATTGTTCTAGAATTTTCGGTAAAACTGTTCCTCAATTAAGTAGAACTAAATAATTATTATTTTCAATGGCCAAGCAATTTTGCATATAAAATATATATACAGGGTTTGTTCTTAACAATATATGTGTATCAATTAAGTAAATAAATTTACAATTTGGTAAGAAGAAAGTTTTTGCCAATATCGTTTAGTTTTACAGATCAACTTTTACTTTCACTATCAAATTGCTGAGCATCACATTAAATTTAAAACAAACTAAAACTATTTAATAAATATAATGAAATTTTTAATTCTTGTTCAGTATGCTGAATACTAATGTAGTCCGGTTTTACATACTTATAGAGGACAATCATGCCAACCTTTCAATCAATTTTGTAGGTATTTTAGCTAAATAAAAGTATTTCAAAACAATTTTCGATTTCATATCTATTAATAAACTGGCTCCATTTTGGGATTATTTATGAATGCTCCTACTCCAATTATTAATATTAGTGTTGGTTTTACCATATTGAATAAGATTACTTGATGTAAATCTCTAAAATAAGATTTTATTAACAAACAACATAAAAAAGTTGACAAAATATAATGAAACAGCAGACTTCAATATAAACTTAACATGATTTTAAACAAAACATGTAAAAATGCTGAATAAGGCTTGTACAGTTAGCATTTTTCGTACATAAGTAATGAAAAAGAATACTACTTTGGGAAATGGAGTAAGAACACTCATAAAGGATAGGGTTGGCTAAGAAAAAGACTGGCACACACCCAGCCTTACGCCGGATTCATGCGATGATGCATAATGTCAGAAAAGGCTTCCCTACTGTTCCATAAACAGATTGCAGCTGCAATTCCAAAGCCAATGCCTCCGCCTATTACACATCGTTTCAGACCAGCTATAAAAATAAAGTAGTAGTTAAATGATAATCAAACAATAACAATAACTAAATAAATAAATAAGCAATTAAACAATAAAAATTTGAAACAATAATTTTATTAATTAAATAGATACCTGTAGACTTAAAAAGCATCCCTGTGGCTGAAGCTGCTGCTAATGTGTTTATAGAATCGTCTGTCCCCCTAGCCCATGAAAACAAAACACCAAAACCACTGTACATCACTGTTACAACTCCAAATGTATTAGCCAGTGATGAGCCATGTTTCATAACATGATTTATCATTCTAGAAAATAAATTTTGTAATATAAATATTATTTAATTAAGTTAATGTATTAATGTTTCTTTGTGTTAAATGAAACTTACTGTGTTCTCCTAAGTTTTCCAGTTTGTCCTGCAAGTGTTGTTGCTTTTAAACCTTTATAAAATCCTGTTGCACCACCAATTCCAGCTCCAGCTATACAAGCTGCACCAATTTGACTGAAAGCTAATTCAAAGCGACCTCTCTGTTTAACGGCTCCTTCTGGGAATATGAATTCTGGCTGACTTGGAGGAAAATATACTGGATCATAATTTAAATATGGACTAAGAGATGATAAATGTGGTTGGCTTCCAACTGTAAATAAATTACCATTTTAATATATTATTAAATATTAATGAAAATTGTAATAGTTATATTTTAGAAAAAAATACACAAAAATCAAAAATATATATTATTCGATAGTTAAAACTATTAAATAAATGTAATATTACATCTTGCACAGTCAGTAAATAAATATTGTACTATTTACGAAGATTAGGTTCAATTGTTATTTACATTTTACATTTACATTTACATTATATAAAAACATGACTGATACATCATTCTGAACTTGTCAAAATCAAGTCAAGTTCATAAAATACAAGTTGAAATACACAATTTAATAAATAATAATTGGCAATAATAATCATTTTAATATATTCTAATAAATTCGTTACATAATTGTAATATGCCAGTGACGTGAAAATAAATTCATGTATAAGAATATAACGTGCTTTTTTACCATTTTTGAGGTTAGAATCCATCTTTCTATTGAAGGTTTTTGTATAAGTAATAGAGAGAGGATTTTTATAAAAGAATACTTACAAGAAGAGATAATATTATCCTTTTGTCTGCTATCACGTATAGGACTACTGGTTGTATTTGGATCACGTAAATCTATCATTTTTAAAACTAAAGGAGCTTAACTGCTCCCCGATCGTTAAACGCGAACAGCAAAAGACAGCTGACGGACACATTACGTGATATTGAGTTAGTAATACGTAGTCAAGATAGCCATCTTGAAAAGGAAAAATCAAAATTACCATTGCGTATACACTCCGAAAATTAAAAAAAATAATTTGGAATATTTAATTTTAAGTACTTTGTAACTTTTGATTTTGTAAATTTTTATAGATGAGTAAATAAATAATCTACTGAATAAAAAGGTAATATTAAAAATAGCTTTGAAAAATCGTTTCTTTTGAAAAACTCAATGTTAAATATACACCAAATTAAATTTTTGTTGTTTCAATAGATTTGTAATCAAATGCTGATGAATTGGAAGTATTCATGTTAATAAAAATACTTGAATTAAATAACGTAATTTATGTAACAAAATTTTCTAACATATTCTTTTTACAAAATTTTTTAATTTAAGCTTCAATTTGCTTTTGACCTGTCTGTACTTTATTATCTAAAACTCCAAGTTCATGTAATAATTCTTTTTTATCTTCAAAGTAGTTTTTATACCATGTAATGTGACCTACTTTTTCTTCTACTGTCATGTAAGCATTTTTGGATAAACCAGTACACACTAATTCCATAAAATGTCTGATTGGACCTTTCTTAGGACACCAATCTTTCAAATGACGTTCCATAAAAACGTGTTCAGAAAAGTGAACATTTGTTTCAACTTCCATTCCTACAATTATAGATTAAAGTAATTTAATAGATTGTACTTTTTCAAATTACGTATATGATTTTACTGTTTGCTTACCTTGCTCATTATCAATAGGGAAATGCCATATTTTTCCCTCATTCGTCCACTGGATCAGTTCTTGAAATACATTTTGTGGAACAGTGAGTTCAGCTAGTCTTATTTCTCTTTTTTCCAGAGTATTCCAAGTTGGTAACTGTAATTCATCTTTGTTATCTGTGCAAATTTCATTCAAAATGCCCATTGGTTGAACAGGAGTGTTCAATTCATTTTTTCCAGATTGTGCATGGCTAAAATGAAACAACAAATTTAATTATTAATGTCAATTAATATTTTTAACAATGTACAACTAGTTCGCACCTTTTTGGTTTTGTTATAGATTTTTTATATAACACTGATTCACCTATAGAAAATTGTTTAAATTTATTTTTTGCCATTTTAAAATTCTTAGAATTCTTCTCTATCCTTTTGTTAGGGCTTGTGGTATCAACTTTCATTTTTGATAATAATCCACTAAAAATCAATTTTCTTTATGAAAAAGTACTTAACATTTTTAACAAACATATGTAAAAATTCTTTAGCAAACCTAAGATCCATAGAACCTTCCTCTTTTAATATATCTAAACTTTCTTGATTCAAATTCAACGCTTTAGTCAGTAGCTCTAGTTCAGTTTTCTGTTTATCACCTCCTAGTGATTCTGCAATATCTTTGGCAGCTTGCTTTATTTGATATTCTAAATAGAAAATGTACAATCCAATTATTAAATAACCCGAGTTTCATTACTTTAAAAATTTCAATTCAACAAACCGTGAGGCTTCTGTTTTAATTCTTCTTCTTTGCTTATTTGACCGAACCGAATGCTTTTTGGTTTAATTGCTAAGTTTACAGTTTTTTTATTAATTGAAAATGTAGTATCTTTATCTGGTGTCTCTGTTTTTGCTGTCTTTGACTTAAGCATTGTCGTTACTGCCTCTACATTATTAGTGTTTGAAATTAAATTGGGTATACTATTAATATCAATTTCTGGTTTTGTATTTGAAGTGGCAAGTTTCTTTTTCTGAGCAGCCTGTATTAGTAATATATTTTGTTAAAATACTTCAAAATTTCTACTATGTATATAATTGAAATTATTACCTCATTTATTTTGTTCAACAAATTATTCAATCTCTCATTAATGTCAGATGTATTCAATGTTTCATTAATATCTTTTGAACTTTCTGTAGGAATTTTATTATCAAAGATATTGATTTTTTGTTCTTCCTTATCTGAATCTGAATCTGAAGAATCTGACGAAGATGATGATGAAGAAGAGTCTTTGGAGTTCAGCAATACGACAGATGTGTGAACTTGTAACGCTGATTGTTTCAAATATGGAGGAAATCTCCTCAAACTAAAGAAAAGTTTTAAGAAACATATTTGATACAATAAAATAAATTGGTGTAGTTATAATAAATTTAATTGAAATAACAATACAAAATATTTATTTCAAACCTTGATAAAAATCGTAAGGACATCATTTTCGGATTTTATAAACTCTATTAGTTAAAATTATGTATTCTCTTAGATAATAATATTATACTATTGAATTCATTTTTATACTTGCTATACTAATTATACTAATTCAGAGACTTTGGAGCAAATACCGAAGCAAATCTCAGAACGAATCTTGAGTTCCATAACCTAAACTATTATATATGTTTAACACACTTCAATATACATATATGTATGTTATATATATATATATATATATATATGGATGAAAGAACTCAGTGAGCAATTGACCGGAAGATTTATAGAAAAAACTGCGTATGATTGGCAGAAATAGCAAAACTCAGTAATAATTTCACGCAATTTAGTTTTTATTCATGAAAAAATTTCAAAAGTTGAACCACTTCCAGATCAGTAGAAATTGAATACAGCATAGCGTTTTAATACGGTTTGTATAGAATTAATCCGTTGAAGCGTTAGCAAAAATCGTGTGCAATTTTTCTATTCAATCAAAATATTATTATAACCATCCGTTAAAAAATAAATATTATTTCTTATTACAGTAATACATTTTGAGAGATATACAAAAGTTTAGATCTATGTTACCGACTGATCTTTCACGCGTGCATTTATGTGTATCGCTGTAATATAATTTTTTCGACAGTCCGTGCGGAAAGTGCGTTTTTCCCGCACGCTCGGCAAAAAACGTACGTTGAAAATCGCACTTTCCACACGTTGTATCAAAAAATACGGTACGGAACATGTTCGGGAAAGAGTTTTTCGACACTCCGTGCGGAAAATCCGTTTTTCCCGCACGTTCGGCAAAAAACGTGCGTTGAAAATCGCACTTTCCACACGTCGTATCAAAAAATACGGTACGGCATATGTTCGGGAAAGAGTTTCCCGTCTCGTGTACCTTTCCACCCTCGATTCGCTCGGGTGTAAACGACACACGAGACAAGACTCTACTTTCCCGCACTTGTATCGTAATGTACTATCTCGTCTCGTGTACCATTGGCCACACATAGTAGTCACAGTAAGACTTGTGAATCTGACGCCCAAAAAAATTTTTTAATCGTATTTTTGAGTTTCATGAGCTAAAACGTTTTCTCCCTTTTTCCGGATTATGTCTCCGCTTGAAATTTTATTTCCGGATTTTCCGTTTTTAAGAAAATTGCGAAAAAAAATCGGGCGTTCGTACAGCGCGCAAAATGCATTAAACATTTTTCTCCTGCTTAAAAAGAAATAATATCGATAGCGGATGATAGCTCCTTATTCCCGGATTACGAAACAATTTTCCTTTTGTCGATTTTCTATCCAAAATTGAGGAAAATGTAAAAATTAGTAATATGCGGCAGTTAGTCGATAAAACAGGTCAAACATTTGCTAATCACCAGATATCCCTATGAGTTCTATACTGTGTACAGTGCTATCTGTGTCGTCTAGCAGTGTCTAAATCAGTAAGCAGAATGCAGTATCTTTACAAGTAAGGCAGCGTCTATTTTTATGTAATTTTATCTAATATTAAGCAAAAATAATTAATCTAGATCTGATTTATCGGTTTTTGTTCATGAGTTATAGTGAAAAACACTTTTTTAGCACTGTACGCACTGTATATCTGGTGATTAGCAAATGTTTGACCTGTTTTATCGACTAACTGCCGCATATTACTAATCTTTACATTTTCCTCAATTTTGTCGAGAAAATCGACAAAAGAAAAATTGTTTCGTAATCCGGGAATAAGGAGCTATCATCCGCTATCGATATTATTTCTTTTTAAACAGGAGAAAAATGTTCACTGCATATTGCGCGCTGTCCGAACGTCCGATTTTTTTTCGCAATTTTCTTAAAAACGGAAAATCCGGAAATAAAATTTCAAGCAGAGACATAATCCGGAAAAAGGGAGAAAACGTTTTAGCTTATGAAAACTCAAAAATATGATTAAAAATTTTTTTTGGGCGTCAGATTCACAAGTCTTACTGTGACTACTGTGTGTGGCCAATGGTACACGAGACGAGATAGTACATTACGATACAAGTGCGGGAAAGTAGAGTCTTGTCTCGTGTGTCGTTTACACCCGAGCGAATCGAAGGTGGAAAGGTACACGAGACGAGAAACTCTTTCCCGAACATATGCCGTACCGTATTTTTTGATACGACGTGTGGAAAGTGCGATTTTCAACTCACGTTTTTTGCCGATTCTCTTCAAAACGGAAAATCCGGAAATAAAATTTCAAGTGAAGACTTAATTCGGAAATAGGGAGAAAACGTTTTAGCTCATGAAAACTCAAAAATATTTAAAAAAAAATTTGTTGGGTGTCAGCTTCACAAGCTTATACTATGTACATACGTACCATATCGTAACCCGCGTAATGTATAAAGATAAGGTTTATTTCATTCATTAAAAGAATGGCAACTGTACTGCTGTCACAAGTGTCATAGTGCACTAACGTCTTTCAAAGTAACATACAATTACCTGTTTTCTCGGAATCATGATTAAATAAACCTTAAGACACTGATAGAACAGTCATTTTTATGAATCATATTCACGGAAGTGTAATGCAATGTGAAGTTATACATATTGTGCCAACATTGTTTTCAACAAATATTTATATATCGAAAATACATTGTGTATATTATAACTTTTAAAGTGAAAGAACACAAAGTTTTATAGCTACGTAAAATCATATATATGATGTTTTGTCGATTGAATCATGTAACTGAAAATAATTGTTACAAGAATTCATTCTTCATTATGGCACAGCATTGAATTAATTTTCATTGTTCGTTTAATCAATTTATTACTTCATGTTCCGGCAAATTACATGAAAGACCATTATTTAAGATCTTTTTATTTAAAAATCAAAGAATGAAAAACGCGAATGGTCAAAAAGCAACAAGTGAACGTGATTTAAATTTTGCCGCCACGTCACAGATCTTAAGTCGGATGACGAATTCTCATCTCTTCACGGAGCCATACAGGTAGTCGCACCGCACGCCTTGATGCTCCCGTTTCTCGTATACATATACGATCTCTGCATTCTTATCATGTAAACCAGATGTAATGCTGCATGCTTATCCCCGAGTGTAACATTTTTGAGTAACCGGTGTTTTTAAGAGAAAAATTATCGCGATTGCGGGTTGAAGAATCGATCGTTCGGTTGCGCACGCAACTTACAGCTGGGGAGATGCACTAGGTCATCGGCGCACAGAGAGAGAGAGAGAGAGAGAGAGAGAGAGAGAGAGAGAGAGAGAGAGAGAGAGCGCAACGTTCGCACCTTCGTAGTTGCGCGAAAGAGCGAGCGAGACAGACTCAGCAGCAGCAACGAGCCTGGCGAACTCGTTTCTCTTTCTCCGGGTCAGCTCATACGTGTGCAGCGCAGCCACTCGTATGCACACATAAACACACATACTTGGTAGGAAGAGAGAGGAGGAGAACGAGCGAAGTATTGAGAGACGCGTGCACGGGGGAGGAAGAGGACGTGGACAGCCGAATCGACGTCGCGCGAGAAACCGAGCGTCGTCGTCAGGGCATACACTACGCCCGGAGAGGTAATTCATTTGAATAAGCTGTACTTCGTGGCCACATTCTGCGTGTGATACTGAGTGCATTGCGATTTTAGCTTAGAGTGAGAGAAAGAGATATATATACATACATACATATATATATATATACATGTGGTTATATGTATTGAAGAGTGTGGCGCCCGCGGGACGAGTGAGAGAGAGTGGACGACCAACCGACCGTACGCGTGTGTGACAATTTTTCTTATGGCTTGTGGTTGTGCGGGATACTCATTATGTTCTGGTGAGGTGAACCATCCTGTTCTGTGATCTACGTTGCATTTCTCAATGATAATACGGAGATTAGCTCCTGGCACTCGTTTAGCCTTTTGTTATTGATCTGCTTCACAGTTTTTTGATGCAGTAGCAGCTTCCTGTGGCAGGCAATGGTGAAAAGTATGTTGGTCTCTGTTGAGTGTCTCATTCAGGTTTTTGCTTATTCAAAAGGTTTAGTGTAGAGGTTGTTGAATAGTAAGATTCTTCTATTAAGCAAGTGTTTGGTGCATTTTTTTGTTTGTGATTTGTCAGGGTTTACAGTTAGTCAAAGCTGGATCTACTTTACAATGAGGATGATTCAAAGGAAAAAATTTCTTTGATTTGTTACAATACACTTGTGATTTTGAAAACTAGTTTCATTAGACTTAATATTATGTACTTCAAGCTTTAGTTGAAAACAGTGTTATATGTGAACGATACTATAATAAATTAAAGAAATCAGATGATCTGTATTATTCTTATGCAGTTATAAATAATCTCATATGTGAAATTTTAAAACGTTCAACAGCTTCCAATGTTCATTCTGTAGTTAACTTATATAGAAACCATAATTGAAAGGTTAACTTTTTTAGGTGTTATATTTACTTTTTTATTTATTAACTAATGTAGTTGAACAATACAAAAAGTTGAAAAAATAATGAACATTTTTAAGCTATAAAACAATCAAGTTTTAAGTGTAGTTGTAAAAAAGAATTTACTATCCATTAATCATACTAATGTGGATCAGTTTAGGTCATCTCCTAATATAAAGCGCTCTCTCAATAATCTAAAATGGATTGTTAGAGTCATACATAGAGTGTTTTACCTTTTTAGACTGTATGTTTACTGCTTTCATTTAACTATTTTCATACCAGTTTAAAACAGTAACAAAAAATATTAACAACCTTCTATTAATAAAAGATACCTTTTTAATTATTGTTACTTTTTATTTATTTATGCATCAAAAAGATTAAATTATTTAATATTATGCTTTAGCATTGAAATACTTTCGCTAAATAAAACAGTAGATTTTCTTTTGGAGAATCTGTTCTGATAAGATAATTTATCTTTTTTGAATATCAAAGAAGATAACAATTCAATTGTTTCTTTTAAAAATCTCAGTAATACTTTTTTTATTAGCTGTGTTTAACAACTTCAGACACAGATAAAATATCTTGGAAAGTTTAGGCTACATGTGTGAGTGAATGTAAAATGATTTTTATTTTCTTTGACAAATAATAAAATTCATAAAAGTCACTTATGAAACAGTTGCTAATATTACTTTTTGGTTAAAAGAAGAGAATTCCAAGATTTAGAGGTAATAACTTCTTCAGAAACATAACACATCCTCAAACAGAAAATATTTTTTTAAAGATGTTCTAAATTTTTAATAAGAAAGCATAAAAAATTATACAATCAATTGTCAAGAGATATTTTATTTTTGAATCATAGCACTCTGTATGAAATGGAGTGTAAGCTTTGATAAAAATAAAGTTTGGCTAAATTCCAGTAGTTTAATTTTAAATGCTTTTGTTTTCATTAGGAATGTGTGCTAAAATCCAGATGTTTACAAATGTGTGATATAATTGGTTCAATTAAGTTTTCCTTTTCAATTACATATAAATGAAATTAATAAAAAGAAATTTTTTATTTTTCAGTTGACAGTTGCTTTTTTGTGTAACAATATTGGTGAAATTTTGCAATAAATATGTCAAAATACTCAAGAGATTTGGAATAACTGAATGTGCATAGAAAATTATAGATTTTGGTGTCCAGCAAGGAAACCAAGTTACTGCCTGCCAATACAGCAGCGTATCTAAGCACAGTTTCCAACTTACATAATGAATGCTATGATAATAGTTTAAAAGTTAATGAAAGTGGTGCTGTTTGAAAATATGTTCTACATATAGTCATGCTTATCTAACTTATCAAAATACTATATGCTGCTTAAAATGGAAGATAGCTATTTTAATAGATGTATTTTCTTTAATTGCTGAAGACACACAAGTTCTATTCTGCAACTTTTGGAACTATCTAGATACCAATCCAATGTATTTGCATTCCTGTGCTTTTAGTACTGTAGTCAAATGTTAAAGAGTTTAGTACCTTAAGTTGAATCGCATTGCAAAAAAGTGTGCTGCTTTGGGCAAATAAGAGTTGGTAGCAAAAACAAAACTCAATGGTGTATCTCAAAGTGAACAAATTTTAGTTACTGCAAGATGAATGTAAAGATTCTAGAATATTGTTCTCGTAAAATGGTTTCCAAATGTAAGGAGGTGCAAGCACAACCATTCTCTCAATATTTCATGGATGATAGAGGACAATTCTGATGACCCTACATCAATAAGGTACTTTATTTATCTATACATGATTATTATTTATAAAATTAAATTGTATTTTATTCTCGTTATGAATTGTTAATAGGGTTAACAGAAATGGATAACAACAGCGTAGGAGTGGTGCAGGTATTCGTGGGCGAGTGGAGCGCCGAATATGAGGCATTGTCGATCAGGGCGACCAAGCAAACATCATCTGCTGAGATAGTTGAATGTATAATCGAGAGACTGAGCCTTGTTGATAACAATCTCTCCAATGGATACGAGTTAGCAGAAGTTATTGGCAATTCCGTCGGACAGGAGTGTAAGGAGCGAAGATTGGGACCAACCGAGTGCCCGGTCGCGCTTATGCTGCTTTGGCCAAAGAAAAATGCTGCGCAGCAGGAATATTACAAGTATATTTCTTATTGATTGGCGCAAAAAATTATGTTCGAACTGCTAATTAACTTGTTCTTTTTTGTAGATTCTACCTTAGGAAAAAGCAGCCTGACTACCTATGGTCCGACAGTAGATTTCCCATGGATCCGCAGCTATTGAAGGACTATTTTAATCGTTTTTTGTATCAACCTCGCGACAAAGAGTATCCTGATCTCTGCCAGCTACCAGATCTTAATGAGTTGACGTTGCTTGACAATCTACGAGCTCGTTTTCTCGCCGGAAACATTTATACCTACGTTGGCAGTATACTCATTGCCGTCAATCCCTTCAAGTTCTATCCTATCTATAATCCGAAGTACGTCAAGTTGTATCAAAATCGACGACTCGGACCCGACATACCACCTCACATATTTGCCATTGCCGATGCAGCTTATCACTGCATGCTTAAGGAAAAAAAGAATCAATGCATTGTGATCAGTGGCGAGAGTGGTTCCGGCAAAACTGAGTCCACGAATTTTCTTCTACATCACTTGACCGCGCTCAGTCAAAAAGGTTCGCATGGAAGTGGCGTTGAACAGACTATACTAAGCGCTGGTCCCGTGCTCGAAGCGTTCGGTAACGCGAAAACGGCACATAATAATAATAGCAGTCGGTTCGGCAAGTTTATTCAGGTGAACTATAAGGAAAACGGAATGGTTCATGGGTGAGTTTTGTTAACATTATCTTTCGTAATCGATTTTCTAAATTAATTATGATCATTTGCTTGGTTCACAGAGCTGTAGTACAAAAATATCTCCTCGAAAAGTCAAGAATCGTTTCGCAAGGTAGAAACGAGAGAAATTATCACGTGTTCTACTACTTGTTGGCTGGAGCGAATGAACAGGAAAGGCAAGTGTTGCATCTGAGGAATTGCGAATGGTATAATTACTTGAACAGAAGCGGATGTTATGGACTGGAAAACGTCGACGAGCGACATGAGTTTTCAAGACTGAAGCAATCTATGGAAATGGTTGGATTTACTCCCGAGAAACAGAGACGGCTCTTTGCTGTTTTGTCGGCTGTACTTTTGCTCGGTACGTTCACGCCACAACGTAGAGCGAGGTGTTTAAAAAATAAATTCAATTTTTTACAATGTAATCGTTGATTTTAAGGTAACGTGGAGTTTCAACCGAGAAAGTCTTATCATCATCACGACGAGGCTGTTGGTGTGAAGAATCCCGAAGTAGTCGCGCTAATATCGGAATTACTAAGAGTAAAGCAAGAGACGCTACTTGCAGCTCTCACAGCCAAGAGGGCACGCGCTTCCGGCGAAACGCTAGTTATAAATTATAGGCTACCCGAAGCAATTGCGGCTCGAGATGCCATGGCTAAATGTCTTTATGGCGCACTTTTCGATTGGATAGTCTTACAGGTATAATATTTGCTTTTCACGCGAATTCTTTTCTGTTTTCTAATAGATAGTTATTTATTGTCTATATAATAGGTTAATCATGCGCTTCTATCTAAAAAAGACACCTTAAGGGATCACCAAGGGAATAGTATCGGTGTACTCGATATTTTCGGTTTCGAAGACTTCAAGACTTGCAATAGCTTTGAACAACTTTGTATTAATTACGCAAATGAACAGTTACAGCATTATTTCAATCAACACGTCTTTCAATATGAACAACGAGAATACAGGAAACAAGGAATTAGATGGACAGATATTGGTTATAGCGACAATTCCGGATGTTTAAATCTCATAGAAGGCAAACCCAACGGTTTGCTTTGTCTCCTAGATGATCAGTGCAAGTGAGTTTTTTCCTTTCAATCCGCTATCGAATGTACTTTTTATTCAATGATTATCATTGTTTCATAGTTTTCCCGGTGCCACAAATGAAACACTTCTTCAAAAGTTCAACTCGGTGCACAAGGACAATCCATTTTATGAAGCTCCACAACGAAGGGAAGGAACATTCGTTGTTCGTCATTATGCTGGAGCTGTTAAATATCAAGCGTCAAATATGAGAGAAAAGAATTTAGATCTCATGAGGCCTGATGGTGTTGTTGGAGTATTGAAAAATTCATCACTGGCCTTCGTTCGAGAACTAGTCGGAGCTGATCCGGTTGCCGTTTTCCGTTGGGCTATTTTGCGGGCTTTCTTCCGTGCTCACTTTGCATTTCAGGAGGCTGGCAGAGCACATAGGCATGGGCGTGGTAAGTCACAAACCTAGTTAAGTAAACTTTTCGTTATTAGAAATTTTCTGATGGATATTATTTTAAATGCAGCAGATGGGAGCAAAGCATCGGTGCAGAATAGATACAGGACTCCTAATGAAAACGTGATAAGGTGAGTTCAAACTTGTTGACTATTCTCAATGTTTATCGAAACGAACTAGTCGATGATTTTTTCACGTGACGTGGGTTTTTAATTCAAAGTACATTGAAGTGCTTTAGATTCAATTGAAATGTATGTGATGTCTATTTAAGTATAATAATTTGTTTTTTACTAAGTTTCGTAATTAATAATAAATTCAAAAGGGGTTTTACGTTTGTTTTTTAATATTCACTAATGACTAATGATATGATGAAAAAAAATATGATCTCGTTACGACGAAGAAATAATGACATTGATATTGTCTAAATTATCTTTTGTGCCAATAGCCATCTTGTGACGTTATCAGCAGTGAATCTAACTATTAACCGAATAGCGTAAGTGGTTATTCGATCCACTATATGTTTCTGTTTAAAAATCCATTTTTTAAGTTTCTTGGCCTTATATACATACGATTTGCGCTAGGCGTGAATGACATTTTATCCTCATTTTAGTTTCAACTTTTTCTTGTATTACGGAAACTGGTTTACTAAATCTCTTTTTTTATTTTCTGTATGGTTTCAATGTACATCTTATACCTAAATACTCTTATAAGTGTTGTATGTGATTAGTAATGTAGTTTATATAATTAGCTAAAGACATCATGACAAATCGTCTCATTGCGTCATTGCACATATTTCACTTCACTTGGGTATTGTACCATTATTAGGATTACTTAAGACTGTAGTCCTCTGTATACGCATGATTCCGATGAACATCATGCATCATTCGATCAATTCATAATCATTGCTATCATTTTTCCCTCCAATACTTGAGATTAAAAAAATATAAGATGACTATTCGAATGCGACTATTAATTTAAAGCTAGGGTTTTTTAAATCGATATTTTGCTGAAAATAACAGTTATGTGATGCGCACGGTAAGTTTCATGTAGAACGGAACAAATAGATTTATCAATCGAAAACAAAAACAAAACCCACAGCGAGAAACAAAAAAAAGCTACGAAAAAAAGTCAAAGGCAGAGCTGTGCTAAGCAGAAGAGCGTAATTTTTACAGCTCGCACAAGTCGGCCGGTCGGCCGAATTATCACAAGCATCAGCAACAGCAGCATCATCATCGTGGTAATGGCGGTGGTCATCAAGCAGCAGTAGCCACTGCGAGTACACACAATAGCGACAGCCTTAACAACAACAATAATCATCACCACCACCATCACCATCATCACCACCATCACCATCACAACAACAACAACAACAACAACAACAACAATAGGCAGTCGTGGCCGCAGTTTCGTAATGTTAATCAAGCTTCGGCTGCTGGCGGTGGCGGCGGCAATCCGCCAAGACCTGAACAAGCGGCACCAAGACCCAGACAGGCCTCTAGGCCCATACCCAGAGACGAAGCGAGTGTCATGGAACGCGCCAATCAGATTGTCATGTATGTAGCGCGTGTGCTGGTGGTGCCGCTACGGGTTCTTTATTTTATCGTCAGTTTTTATTTTTGTTTTCAATTTGGATCTTCACTTTGTTGCTGGACAAAATTTTTAAGCTGTCGTTTCTATTGTTTGATATTGGAAAAAATTATATCAAGTTTATGATATTTGACGAGACAATCGAGGAATTTTTTTCTCTTTACATCATTTTCACAATGTTGCAAATGTATCTGCGAACTTTGTCAATATGATGGCTGAAGGATGCATTTACGTTTCTTTAAATGGTGTACGATTGTACTGTTGAGCGCTAATTTGCCAAGTTTTTTTAAGTTTAGAACAGTCTTGTTTTTTCACTAATTTGAAAGTATTACAAATAATAATTTACATTGAATGTCAATACTTAATAATTAAGTGCAAATTAATTTCAACTCTGTTAACTTGTTTGCTATGCTTATGAATGACTTAAATGAATTATTTAAAGTTAAAATAACTTATGCTTTAAATCTTTTTCTATCAATAATTTAACAATAAGAAACAACTTGGCGAATGGTCGAAGTGAAGATATCCAATTTTTTCTGCGACTTTTGAATTAGATTGGAGCTATTGTACTCGCTGGAAAGAAGTATAAATTTGAAGCTTTCACTATTATTACACTGGCAAAAAAATATTTCTTAGTAATAATCTGTAGTCTTGGTTTTGGACGGTGACGGGTATACTTATGAATTTAAAAAATATTGGTTACGGATTTGTAAAAAGGTATATTTTTTCTAAATTACAACTAGATTATCAGCAGATATATGAAATTTATATCTCGCATAAATATAATGTAGTCACATAGGGTGTTTTTAATTTTATAAATTACCGACTTTATCACATTGTAGTTCGCATATATACGCGCGTGCGCACAACCACACAGAAACACAAATACGTATCCTAATTACATCCAAATCAAAAATAAGATCTATTCACGCTTGGCAATTTTGGCCTTTTATCAAAGCTCACCTTGTCCCCTCTTGCCGACTCATAATCATTTTCTACTCACTCACTCGAAACTTCTATTATACATCGCTGAAGTGCTGCGTTACGTAGCTATGTAATTTCGTTTATTACAATAGCGGAACGATCGTGCATGGAAAATAGTGTATATATATATATGTGTGTATATATATATATGTATAATACACACATACATATACTTCTGTCGCGTTCAAGTAAATTGATTCCGATACAAGTCAATTCTCATTACTGAATCAACTTTACTAACTATTATTATTATAGCGTTGACAGTTTTATTTTTATACCTGTATTTGCTCTGCATGCCTTTTTTCTCGTACTAAAATAGAACGTACGAGAAGTTTTTTTTATTCATAGGCTGTCTTTTTCTTTCTACATTACTAGAATATATAAAGATCATTTTTAGAAAGATAATGGTTGTAAATATTAATCTCTATGGGGCTTTAATGATTTAATTACTTCTTGTGCTAAAATACCTAAATTCTTTTACAGTTGTATTTTTATTATCATTTTTCATACTAGATTAAAAAATGTTAATAATTATTTAGATACAGTTGAAAATTCGTACGATACCACATATTCGACAATTCTGATAATTATAGTTTCTGAAATTTTTTCAGATCTGTAGAAAGATAAAATTCACACAGTTACAGTGTATTATTATACGACGAGAGTTTTCACTTGTGTCACAAAGGTGCATCGACAATAATAATAAAACATAATAAAAGAAATAAATCAACAAGTCTATAAATGTTAGTTTAGATCATATAAATTTTCATGCAAAACGTTTTGCAATGCAGGAAGAACAAATCGTTCAGGCCACGCGAGAGGGGTAAGAAAGGACTGAAGAATTTGCAAACAGTGAAGACATTGGCAGGCAGGACGCAAAGCTACGGCACGGGGCCGGGCAAAGCGAGGAAGCAGCCGATGACCGTCTCCGCTCAATTTCAACAGAGTCTTCATAGTCTTATGGATACGCTTAACCAGGCAAATCCATTCTTCATTAGATGTATCAAGAGTAACGCTAACAAAGTGTCGAACGAATTTGACGATGAGACGGTTCAACGACAGCTTCGGTTTGTTTAACAAATAACACTTCGTATTATTTTATTACGCTGACTATTTCACTGACCATCTTCACAACTCTTTGCAGATACACCGGTATGTTAGAGACAGTGCGAATCCGTCAAGCAGGCTTCAACGTGCGTCTCACTTATGAAGAGTTTATCCAGCTCTATCGAATGTTGTTGCCTAAAGGTCTCCTCAGCACGCAAAACGATGTGCGTGATTTCTTGCTCACGCTCAATCTCAATCGCGACAACTATCAGTTGGGCATGACTAAAGTGTTTCTACGCGAGTCAGAAAAAATCAAGCTTGATATCGAGTTACACCAGCAGATCATCACGAGTATCACTACAATACAAAAATGGTTCCGAGCGTGTCTCGAGCGACGTAGATTCCTTAAATTAAAGAACGCCGTTGTCCTAATTCAGTCGTTCTGGCGCATGGTCACGGCCCAAAAACTCGCCAGAGCACTGAGAACCAGAATTGAGGCAGCTATTCATATACAGGCAGCTTGGAGGACATATAAACAACGTAGCTGGTTCAAGAAGCTCAAACAGGGTGTTGTTAGGTTTCAAGCGATTGTTAGGGGTAATAATGTAAGGAGGGCTTTGGCTGAGCTTGGGAAGAAAAAGAAGAGTTTAACTGTCAAAGAACAACGAGAGTAAGTCTTTGAAAAAAATCTAATACTTTGTTCATATTTGAAGGTTTTATTATTAGTGATTGAAAGATAATATTTAATGAAAATTGTTGTTAATTATATATATTGTAAAATATTCTAAATATTCTTATTTATCGAAACATAAAAGTAACTAATCTATATTTAATTGTAGGTATGGACATGAATCACATGCGACAACGATTACTGAAAGTAATTATTTATCACAACGACCTGATTTCAGTAGTCGCATCACTCCTAATAGGTATGTAGCCACTCTTTTCATTATTTGCTTTTAAAGCAGTTAAAGAACAGTCTGTCATTATGTCATTTGGCACATGACGTATTTTTATGCGCTTGATAAAAGCTTTCAGAATCTTTGAATAAACTGTATGCGTATTAAATTTTTGAATTATAAAATAATTGCATATATATTCCATTAATGCGAGACCAAATTTTTGTTTCTTTACAAATTGACTATTGTTCACTGTTTTTCTTGGAAATGAACTTCAAATGATACTGGTTAATAACAGTGATGAAATTTTGTACAGAACAACCGATAACAGCACCCATCACGAACCATCCATCGACCCGTCGCTTACGATAACCAAGCGGAAAGTCATATTATCCAAGCGCCTATCGAATGACACTTCCTCATCAACAAAATCCAGTGACTTGTATCACTATCCTGAAACAAACAACACATCAGCTTCCGCCGAAATTCGCAAAGGTAGTGTCGAAAGTCTAGCTAGTCTACAGAGCTACGAATCTCAAGTATCGGTCGAGTCCTTGGAGTCGCATCACTCGCACGACAAACCAATTCCCAGCACAAGGATCCGCCGAGGTGTCACGAGCATCGAACAACAATCTAGTGTACAATCGACAACTACCACCACCACGACAAGTAGACTATCATCGAGTAGTAAACGTACCGACAGTTCGTCAACAGGCTACAGCGACGGCGAGACAGACGCTGAAACACCTAGTGCCGTACACAGTGCCCCACCGGTATTCAATGCAAGTGCTACATCGTTCTCGAGTCCACGCGATATCAAGTACCACCAGACGTCTAGTGTTAAGCTTACGCACACACCGACTACCAATTCTGACATTTGGCATAAGAGGTCAGAGTGTAACACTTCAGAGCAATATCCGTTGCAAGTGCCGCAAAAACCAAATCAGAAACCGAGCATTACAAGGTCGGCCAACGTATCACAACAACACCGAAATCTTAGCGACACTCTCATCGAACAAGAACGATTAAGCAGGTTGGAAAGGTTAAACAAAGCCGTACCGACAGTTGTCAAATTCGATCGCACGTCCGGAAGGCGACTTAGTGAAAACGAGAATCTAGTGTTAACCCAGAAACGCGAGCAAATCTTACCTAAGGATCCTAAGGATTATACTTATTTGAGAAGACAGAACTCCGAAGGCGATGCAACGCTCAGAGAAAATGTGTCTGCTATTCCCAAAAGCGTGCTAACTACCCAAGTGGAGAAGGCTGAACCTGATGTTCCGGTAAGTTATTATTAATTCAAGATATACATTAAAAACGAGATTTAACCATGATTGTTCCAGTTTGATAGACGCAAAAAAGTAATAGTATTTTTTGTTGCATCGAATACGTCATACATTAGTTGTATATGCATTGGTGATATGTTCTAATTTAATTGTAGAGTGCTTATAAAACTATTTAGAAGCTACAGTTAAAATATTTAGTCGGTCAGTGTTACATGCGAGTCGTACTTTCCAAGAAAAATGCAATAAGTTTAGGAATAGAAATGTAAATTTAGTTTTTCACAATGTTGAAAATATTGAAAGCAACTATTTCATTTAATCATACAAGATTTCAATAAATTAAAATAATATTTACATTTTAAAGAACAGTAGATTTTATGTATATTTTTTAAATATTTATATTTTTCCTATAATAAGCAACAAATTTTAATTTAATGTTGCAGGTAAGAAGTGCTCGACGCAATAGGCCGCCTCGAGAACTCCAATGTCGTTCAATGGGCGAATCGGTGAACGAGGCAACAACAGAGGCGCGAAATGTCATTCTAGGTACCATTAAAGAAAGCGACCTTATTAAAACGAATGTTTGGCCACGGAAAGATGATGCGAAACATGAATCGGTCACGCGGTCTATTACCGAATGGCCAGTCGATAAAAAAGACTCGCATTTCAAACCTCAGCCTATTGGTAATAAAAGAATTCGTTCTAATGTAATCTCAGTTCAAGAGTTACGACGACGAAATTCTGATCCGGCTACTAAAGTTTCGGGAATAGTCGAGAATAAGGGATACTCGGAGACGAGTCCCAACGAATTGAAACCAGCACCTGGAAATTTATTGGAATGGAAGGGTAATACGTTTAAGTTGGCGGAGCATGAATTTAGAAAAATAGCGAGGTTTAATAAAGACGATGTTTGTGCGTGTTGTCATGAAAAAATGGATGCTTTTGTTACACAGGTAATTTATAAATAGTCATTTAGTTGATTTTACGTAGAGTAATCAGAAAGAAAACTATAGTTTATAATATTTCATTGTAATTTTTGCGTAGGGTTACAAATGCAATTATTGCAAGCAGCCTTTTCATGTCAAATGTATTCAGAACGGTGGTGTTCTGAAAATGATGTGCGTACCAGCGAATACACCTAATCGAAGAAATAAGAGAAAACCACAAAGAGCGCCTTATGATCAAAAACAATCAGTAGCGTCGAAATTTAGTTTGACAGGAACGTCGGATTTCAAAGATAGCACAGACAAAATCATTTCCGATGCAAAAGAATTGGCACTGATGCAGGATTTTATTACGAAAAAAATCTATATAATGGACGGACAAGATGACGGCAAAAAACCACCTAGTGAAGTTGATCGAGTGTTCAAACAGGCTCTTAAAAAGTTTAAAGACGAGCTCGTTATAACGTACAGTGTTTGTATACAGCAAGGTGGTATTGAAGGCAACATTAAGTACACCGATCTTATAGCAAACTTTTCTCACGTGATGGAAACAGTTTGCAAGCAAGAGAACTTGAAAGAAGCTTTTCCACTGACAATGGGTGTCAATGCATTCAGGGGTTTCATGAACGAATTTATGGCTTTGGCGAAAACAGAGGCTATGGAGAAACAGAGCAAGAGTAAGAGAAAAAAAGAAAAGAAAGAAAAGAGAAAACAAGAAGAACCTATTAAGCACGGAAGTCACATGTTTCAACTGACTATTATTAACATTCCCACTGCTTGTGAAGTTTGCACGTCTTTCTTCATGTGGCCTATTGAGCGGGGACTTATCTGTCAAAGTGAGTGTTGTAAAACTTCATCATACTTTTTTTCTTCCAGGTTTATTAAAAGATATCGTTATTTATTTTTATTGTTTATTGCAGATTGCAAGTTGACCTGTCACAAAAAATGTTACACACGCGCTTCAGCGGAATGCGGCAAAGATGCGCCACATGAGGCTAACTCACACAAAGTTTTCGGTGTACCTCTTTACAAATTGGATTGCGGAGATGGCAAAATACCATTGGTGGTCGATAGGCTAATCACGACAATTGAGTTGCACGGCCTCTACACTGAAGGTATCTACCGTAAGAGTGGCGTCAGTTCGAAGGTTAAGGAGCTCAAGATGAAGATGGATGAGGGTGATCTCGAGAATGTGGAGTTTGAAAACTATCAAGTGCATGTGCTTGCCGCTGTGCTGAAGAGCTTCTTTAGAGACATGCCCGAACCATTGCTTACCTTCGAGTATTACGACGACTTTCTTCATGCGGCTAGTTTGACTGAGTCTCAAGATAGAATAAGGTAATTATAGCAAATAATTGATCAGAGGTTTTGTATACGTGACTATCGCTTAGTTGAAATTATACAAGTACTTTGCGCCACTAAAAATATCAAATTTACTTATAGAAATATTTTTAACAATATCTGATGAAATTTGTTCATATTCAATTGCTTTTATATATTATAATTGATAAAGACTGATTAATTTGATTCAATAATTTAATTTCAGCACCTTATTTGCAATTTTGAAGAAGCTACCGAAGCCAAACTTTGACTTAATGGAGCGATTAATCGTGCACTTAGCTCGCGTTGCTCTGCACGAGGTTGACAATCGAATGTCGCCCTCGGCATTGGCGATAGTATTTGCACCGTGCATTCTTCGCACCAATAGAACACTTCCAGCACAAGACTCGTTGCAAGATGTGGGTCGACAGACCAAGTGTGTCGAGACTATCGTCCATGAGAAGCTTCGAATAGTCAAGACGACTCTAGCCGATATCAACACACTCGATTCAGCCTGTCACTCGGCGACTTACCGTTTATCCAGTCTCAGATCCTCGAAAATCTTTAGTCCTGAAGAGTTAAGCTCAACTCTACCAAGCGTCGTTGCTGGTAGAGGTAACAGCAGTGTGACTACATGTTCTACTGATCCAGAAAGGGACAGAGAAGACGAAGAAGAGGCGTTGGTTGGACACATTCAGGAGATTCAAAAGGAGAAGGCTTTGCTTACTTCAACTTTGCCTAGTCTAACAAGGGCCTCTTCAGATGATGACTTGCTGCTTTCTGCTACGGATCTTGATGACGGTTCGCTTGATGATCTCTTGCCGTCAGCTGGTGAGTTGATTTTTACAGTTCTCTCTTCCTTTCCCTCCCTCCCCCTAAATCTCTTGTAATACTTTTAACTAGACGAAGTTCATTTTTCCTTTTTGGATGAATAAAAGTGTAAAATTATTGAACGTGGAATGGATAATATTAGATATTATAGAGAAATTAGGACAGTAAAGTAATTCTCTTAGAATTTAGACGAATTTAGAAAGTGGTTAGTAATAACAATATATCACTATCAGATATTTTAAGTAATATATCAATGAATGCCATATAATTTATTATTATTTTCTAATTTTCTCTGTATTTTTCATAGATGGGCTTGTCAGGAAAAAACCAATACAAAGGCAAAGTTCAGCGGATAGTAGTTTTCCAACGATCATCAATGTCGACGAGGATATGGTGATGGTATAGACTATATGAAATATTCACAAGACGTCTTCTCGCTAATTAAAGAGTCAATCGATAGATCGAACAGCTATTATATTTATAAGAAGGAAATAGCTCTTCGTCGAAACTTCTGAAATTAAATACTTCCCAGCGTACAATGTTCATAGTTAAGTATGTAATTTCGTAAAAAAAAAGAAAAAAACTTCGTTCTTCAAGTCCACTATTCCAAAAGCGCTACAGGAAGACGGAGGATACAACATAGATATATACTTTACATGTTAATCTATACATAGAAACGGAGTGTACAACGTTTTTTTTTTCAAATCTAATCTTCCTAGAATGCATTCCTCGTCAAAGACTGTCGTTCGCGTTTGAGCGGTTACACCGCAGCACGTTTCAAATAAAACTAAAGAGGAAAAATTTAATAAAGCCTTTCGTCGGTGTGTGTCGCTTCGCCTACACTTTTCCAATTTTAGGGATCCGCCTTGCAATAAAGCAAACAAAAAATATTCACTACGTATATCTTTGTGAATCGTTGACGTGATATTTTTTTTTCTCGCTCTTATGGCAAGAATGAAGGGATCGATGGGAGACGCGTCTATATAATGTGAGTAACAAATAGTGCGACTATAAAAGTCACTGCAAGTGTCTGAGAATGAGAGATTAATAAACCCGACAAGTCGTGTTTGATGTTGTTTTTGTCCACTCTTTCGAAAAAATCTTAATTTTTTCTTGCGCATAGGCGTTTCTCCATGTAATTTTTCCTTGCGTGAAGAAGAGAAAGTTAGATCGTGTGGTTAATTAATTTAAGCAAATCATGGTTTATGGAGTGGTACGAACGATAAACCAAAATGTCTAGCGTGTACATATAACTAATCTGTTACTATATATTATTGCGGTTATTTACGAACGACGTTACCAAGAATTTATATTTCTACTACTGATTTTTCGTCGATTAAGGACTAATCTAAATAACAAAGCAATCGCAATCTTTTGATTATGCGCTACTTCCCGAATTTATCTTCCAATTATTACGCTCCCCTTTTGTGTAAAAACGAACTTTTTGCGCGCGTGAAGCGTTTTTTTGTATATTTATTATACACGTTTTTAATTACATATTATTATTATGATTATTATTATGATATAGGCATAAGAGACCACTCGCAGGGCGCAGAACTGATTGATTTTTTAATCATAATATCAATTTTCATATACTTTTAAGAGACCTTGGCATGAAAACTTGAACAAACATAATTTTGAGAATGTTTAACGAGTAAGATTTAATTTGTGTATTTTTTTAGCAGACTGATATCTTGTAAAATTGTTTCCAAGTTGAATTCATTCGTATTATTGAAATGATAACGAATGACTATTGAAATTTTAAATAAAATTAAAGAAATTAATTTTTCTAAAGTAAAAAAAATGGTTTGATAATTAAATGTTGTCTTCTCTTCTAAACAAAAGATTTTAGGTATAATTTATTGAATAATAATTCTGCAGAATGTGAGTGAAGAAAAAAGGTTTTTTGTTTTGATTTTGAATTTTGCACTTGTTGTTTGGATAATGATAATACTTACAAATTATTACTCATAAATTCATTATAATACACATTTATTTTTCTATTCACTATAAGAATATTTAATTCAATATTACCTCAATTACGATATTATGTATGCATTTTATTAAATCTACTTAACGATGACAAGACTTGGTGCAGAATGCACAAATATAAGAAATGTATGAAACAAAATTATCGTTGAAATAGTTTTTCTGCTAAGGTTGATAGATCTTATTTTTCGGAGATTTATGTATAGCTTTTATTCCCTGCGAAAGTGACGATCAATCATAATGATGTAAAAAGATACTTGCGCATTTTGTTACTATTAATTAATCAGTTAATTAATAAATTAAGATTTTTTGAATAGTTAATTATATTGCGATCAAAAAAGGTACGTTCCTGTTATTACGAGTTTGTGTTACGAGAAACATTAGTTGAACAGTGCGAAGTTGTAAAATTTTTAATTGAGATATATACTTTATCGTACATTCTGTATAAAGTTTAAAGCTATTCTTTTTAAGTAGTTTAAACAACTTTGTTCAACGTGCAAGTATGATTAAGATTGGCGATTCTTTTTTTTAAATACTTGATATAGTCCACGTGTATTTGTTTTAAAAAGATCGCTAATAAATATACTTTAAACAAAAGTGTGAATGATAGATTGAGGAAAATGTTGAAATTGTGGAGATCTATATATTTTTTTCTCTCAAACTCATCAGTTTTGTTATGGTTTTTGAGATGCAAATAAGTGTATCCATGACGTATAAGATCCTTGAAAAACCGTAATAACTCAATCTTGCAAATACCTTTTCTAAGTCCTTTAACTTGTACAAAAATATGTAAAAAGGAAAAGAGTCTATAATTTTGAGATGAAATGAAACTTTTGTTCGATGAAACTTTCAACGATGGATTTGGAATTTTAGTATTTGCAAGGTTAATGATTGCATTTTGAATGAGTACAGAGACATATGTATTTTATAAAAAGAAATTTTTTTTGCAAATGATCTATGACTGACTCAGACTTGAAATATTTTCGTCACTGAACTATAAACGTACATAATTGAATATTTAGAAAATTATATATCGCAGAAAAAAAGGATAATAGAAGAAACGGGACTAAGTTATTGTGAAAAAAGGAAAAGACACATTTGGCGAAAATGATTTTTATTCGAAATTTTATCAAGCTTTTTTTTTTTTGATTAATATAATTAAATCTTGAAAGGTTTTACTCGTTATACTCCAAGCTCTTTCAGATGCTATCATTTTTACAACAATCGTGTATAAAAGTAAAAAAAGCGCTAAGAATGATGAAAAAAATTTTGTAAAGCGATTATGAATATGATCGACGTACTGCGCGGCAGTGCAGGGCGAACTTTTAAAGCAACAAAATGTCTGTATATTTTTTTAAACACACTATGTGATATATATCCGTATAAATAAATGATAAACAAAATTTTTTTTTACTTTTTGTCACTAATCATTAATTTTTTATTATTTTTTGGTTATGCTTCTGATATTTTGAAGAATTTTAATGAATTTTTGTGCTTGTCTTAGCTGCTAGTGGAAATCAGTAATTTCTTCATTCTAACGTTTTAAAATATCGTCAAAGAAAAGATATGCTGATTTTTAAGACATAACACGATAAATTATCTTTTGATTAAATTAGTGTTAGATTACGTAATTAAATATAACTTAAATGAAATCATTTTGCGATGTAAAAACTTGACATTCATATTTATCAATTTCATAACTTTTTCAACATTTCAATATATAACTGGTGTAATACGTGCGCTTTTAACGAACGACGGTATAATTTTCAACGTTTTTTTTAACTTAATTCACTATCATCAATCTCGAAAAGTAAAAATGTTTGTGCCAAGCAAATGATTATAATAAAATTCGCTTTCATTTCGCTGAATTTACCCCAATTTTGATATTTTTAATTGATCGCACTTTGATATATCTCACGGTTGAGTTTTTTTTCAATATCTTACGTAAGTATAAAAAGCAAAAATATAGTATATCCTATTTCTAAAGTATAATGTGAAAAAGCAAAACTGCAGTCTCCTACATGATATAGCCATTAAAACTTTTTCATAGAGCTTTCAGAATTTAGTACGGAAACTCGTTTCTGCGCTAAACCGTTTTTCTTGCAAATACACTTTTCTTTTTAATCTTTCGCTATATTCTACATTCTTCTATTCCAAACAACCAATGTAAAAGCTGATGAATCTTTTCACCCAAAAAGAGTGACAATTTCTTTTTTCGAAACAAAAATGCGAAATGAATTTAAGCGGATGGAGGATGGGTTGCGTGAGCAATGCATGCATGAATATACGAGCGGATTAGCAGGGTCAAAGTTATTAACTTTAGTCTGTCGATGAAAGTGATGTGATAATTTTGTCATACATTTGCTCTGGAAAAAAAAAAGAAATTCTTGAGTTTATTAATCGAATTCAATGCGTTTTCCTGACAAATTTGTGCGCTTTCAACGAAAACAATAATGAAAATGCCGATGACTTTTACGATATTTTTAGAACTGATTGCTTCTACGAGTTTATAGTACAAAGTATATTTACGAGACTGTATATTTCCGCCGTACAAATCAAGATTAATTTTTCTAAGTCTTATTTTTCTAAATGTTCGATGGGCTAAAGCGTACACGAAGATGCATTCAATTCGATAGATAAATTTATAAAATTGTAAATATTTCTTTAAAAACTGATACAAATTGTATTTTCAACTAAAATCGACTATTTAATGTAATCGAGTCGAGTATATTAAATGAATGAGAGTTCTTCCCATTCATGTCTTGACGTAGACCTTATAAGCTATAAATATATAAATATGACATGAATACACACACACGCACACGCATACACGCGCGCGCGCGGACATAAACACATACAGATATATATATATATATATATATATATATATATATATATATATATATATATATATATATATATACAATAGAAAAAGAACGGAAAGTAGTTTTGCTGTAAAAGCGGGAAAGTGAAGCGAAAATATATGTGGTTTGTAAAGAGAAAAAGCAGTAATAATAAAAACTAAAAATCTTCCATACGAGCTATGCATCGTTATATGCTATAGTCGTCTATGCGCTTCCTTCATTCACTGAATATCCGTAGAAAGGTGTAAGCTTCAATTTGAATATATGCGCGCGAGCTATGTGTGTATGTGAGCATATGTGCGTATGTATGTATGTATGTATGTATTATGTATGTGAATACAAATAAACAAATGTCGTGTGTAAAATATTTTTCTATACGCTATATATTCTTGTACAGACTTATGTAAGCACATATATTCCCTCGTGCTTCGACAAAACAAACAAGAACTTTTTTTCGTTCATGTAAGTTGATATTAGTTTGGTTTATGTGTAAGCTATATCGAATCTTAAAAACATGGTATCGAATGATCACGTTTCCTTCTTTTGAGTTCTATATAGCATACTTTTTTGAATCGAATAAGAAACAGTAAAATACGAAAGTTTAAGTAAATATACAAGGTACGATTGTATTTAGATAGTAGCCTATTTTATTTGACTTTACGCGTGTGCGTGTATGATTTGGAGAAAACCGGATGATTGGAATTGACATGCGTGAGAAATTATGCGTACGTGTATTGCGAAAATGTTCTATTGCGTTTGACTGTAATTTTATAATATATTTGTAAGACAAAAATCTGATGTACAGTATACCTGATGTTAAATAATAAGTATCTACCTTATATCTATAATCTAATTTCTTTTTTTGTAATTCAAAATCTCCTTGTTTCGATGAAAATTTTTTTATATGAGTGACGTAGAGTTTTTCGTTATGGTCAAATAAATGTGATAATTACGGATAATGCAATGGTTTATATGTACAAAAAAACTTGTGTAATATCAGCATTACTTTCTTCATTAGGTCAGTTACTATTATCAAACATACAACAATTGATAAACAATTTTATTTAGTGAAAAAAATGTCTTTTACATTATTTGTATGATATGAAGTGTTACTCAAATAATTTTCAAACAATTTTGCATCCTTTATTAACCAGAATAATGAAATAATTCATGGCAATAACTGATATGTTAAACTAAGTATACGAACATGCCATTTTTTTACCAGAATTTGCAGTTAACTTCTATAACCTTGTCTACATAAACAATGTTCACCACCAAATGGATCTGTTCCACAAGTTCCACCTCCATAATTTGCACAGTCTTGATTGCATCCATCAAGATCACAGGCATGACCTACTTGAATTTATGATTGACGGAACTTAAATTAGTAATTAATGAACGATTAAACCTAATACTTACACTGCGCGAAGAAGAGTGTAATTATTAATAATGTGAATAGGGTAAGTTTCATTTTTTAGTGTCCGTTAAGTTATTTCAAACTGAGAATGTTAAACTCAAATTAACTGCGCAGATAATTCGATCATCGCGTATACATTAGTGATGATTTTCAAGCATATTCAATTTAAAAATAGTTATCAAATGTTTTCATGCGAATAGAATGAGTTTGCAATCACAAGTACTATATGTATATAGAGTTATAAATAGTGTTAGTGGAAAATTTTTCCAGTCAAATCCATTCGCTCACAAGTACGTATAATGTTCCAAGTCTATGTGAAAAGTTTTTTTTTTTCAATTTTAATAACGGCATATTTAAAATCATTTTTTAGATCTGCATAGTAAACCACTATTGATTTATTGAAACTGATAAAAATACATTACGCATAAAAATGGCACTCTTGTAGTAGACTTTCAATGATGTCTAACCAAATTTATGTACAGAAAAAAGTGAGAATATGATCTAGATTACCTTTAAACTTATTGACCAATTTATCCAAGTAAAAAGTTAGAAATATTTTACCAATTGTACAGAAGAAATGCATTGATTAGGCTTCATTTTTATTTCAAAAGCTCGAGTAGCGCTCTCGCCAATGTTTAAGGGTGCATGTTTTTCATGTAATGTTGCTAACCCGAAATTAGTTCTTTTTTACCCACTGAAGTCTGATATAAATAAAAAACAGAAAAGTAAATTTTATTGATTTTTATAGTTTATTAGAATTTAATAAAAAACGTTAAATAATAGTACTGCCTGATTTTAAATTCGAATTCTTCGGGTTCGTCGAAGCCTATATATTTTGATTTATTTTCTGCTCGAAATTTTGACCTTATAGTAGAGCTTTCGTATAAAATTTCGCTGAAATGTGTCGAGTAGTCAGTTTCGTCAGTAATGAGTTTTTAAGCAGTGTTACAGTTTTCAAAATTTTGCCAGAGTCGAAATTTTAAGCAGAAAACAACCCGACTCAAAATATAGTTTTAGGCGTATTTTAACTCGCGTTAATTTCCAATTTGAAGTCAGATGAACGCTTAAACAGAATAAATGAAATTGAATAATGAGAGTCGTATGATTCGTGCTGTGTCTATCCAGAGGACTCGTCAGGATGGCTTTTTTTAGAATGTATTCGTATATCATCGACGTCGACATATCATAAATAATTACAAATGTGACACGCGTCAATGAACGAACGACGACTCACTATATCCTTTGCATACTCTTCGTCGTCTCCTCCGTGATATTTCCTCTGTTACAAGTCGACTCTTTTTGTAGTGGCTTGTAAGTCTATTTTTTCAATGTCCCCCTACGTACGATGTGCAACACATCAAAATAAAAAAAATTTATATAATTAATTTTACCACGGGTAAGTATAATTATACAGAAAAACTATACCATTCTACAGTTCAGCACTGTACAATTGCATTGATTCTAGCTCGATTTAAAAATATAGGTCGAAAATTTGCTTTCGATGAAGCCGTCAGTTTAGTTAAACATTTGAAACTCAGTATATGACAACATTATAAATAATCGTCAAAAGATATCTATCTGCCATAACTTAGTATAAGTATAAGTAATGTAGATAATTCATAATATCCGACACTATTTAGACATTATTTAGAAATCTCATACGATCAATCGATTAATATTGGCTAATCTTGCATTTCAATCGACAATCCAATAAACATAATTCACTTGTCCAATACAAACCCGAAACGATCTGCCATTATCAAACGGCAAACGGCTCCTTTTATTTTCACAGCTTTAATGGCTTTTATCAACGAAGGAGCTTGAGGTCTCAATAAAAGCCCCTTAATTTATACGATTGCAGTGACGGACCTCTTTTTTTCTTCTTTTCACTCTCACATTCTTTTCGTTTTCTTTTCATTTCTCTTCTTTCACTCTCTTTCCCAAAAATACGAATCAAATGTCCACTGTCGTGAAAAAATGGCAAAGCCAGGAAAAGAAATGTAATTGAAAGAAGGAAAAGCAGCAACTGATTAGGAAAGGCTAAAGGGAAACGGAAATAGAAAGGAAGCGTCGTATACTCGCATAGCTTGAATATTTCAAATTCCTCTCGTTTCCGTTGTTGCTTGATTAGTTTAGTAATGAATTTGCGAATAATTTAGCGAATGAGAAAAGAACGAGAGTCCTGTTTGTTTATTCGCAAATGCCTTTGAGTGCAGGTTTAATGTTTGATCAGATGTTTGATCGAGGAAGCGAAAATTTACGAGCGACTCGTTTACGAAGGAAAAAAAAATGAGCCCGAGAAAGTGGCCGGACGAAACGTTCAATTGAGGATAGTCGATAGGAAATCAATTGAGAGCTATTACGGGGTGGGAGAGGGAGTTAATATAATTACTTCCATTTTATTGGAAATTCTCTGTAAATTAATAAGACGGCAAAATTTCTTCGTTGACCGTCGAATTATTATGAGGGTAAACTTGCGTTGTTGAAAATAATTATTTACAATGCATTAGTTCACTTGGTTTACTCCATCATCCAACTGACGAAAATCTAATTGGTATTTTTGTTCAAGTGCAAATTTTCATGCATATTTTTTAAGATCCGAGCGCGTGGCCACATAGATCTGTGCGCTATTCCGTCCCAGAGTTATCGACCCGCACCATATTGTTTTGATAATTTATTTGTTCAACGACATTTCGTGTTATCGACTGCGGCTTATAGAAAATATTACGACGCGCGTTTCAGCGAAGATTAAAATCTCCGATATGGAGCGAGGGAAGGGGCAGGAGGGAAAAAATAGGTTGGAGGAGATAAAGAGTCGGACAACGAAGATAGAGTTAGCGGCGGAAAGAGCAAGCGGGAGAGCTTAAAATCGGCGAAGAACGAGCGGTGGTATAAATCCTCGCCTTCTTAGTTAAAACGGCCTTCTCAAATCCTTCTTCCTTCTTCTCCCTCTTTCCGGACCTAGAAAAATGTCGTTTAATTGATTGCCCAATAAAAGTGAGAGCCGTGAGATTGGACATTGTTTTTTTTTTCTTTGTCAAATTGATTAAGATCTTACCCAGTGCGGATAATCGTAAATTAAGATGAATTCCGCTTTGTGCTCCGAAAACTGACTGCCAACCACGGCATCGAAGAAGCTTTATTTGATGTTCAAAGTTTGTTCCGCGATTTCCTTTGAGTGAGGATAATTCAATAACTTTTCATTCTCGATCGTATACTTTTTTTTGCTCTCTCGCATCTTACCGTGTGTCGATTTTGTTGGAGCGCAGTCTGTTCAAATAAATGAATTAAATAGGTGATTCACGACGTGTTTTTAAAATACGAACGAAATTAGCCATTAAAGTTTCACAAAAAAGCGGCAAACGCACGGTATGCACACGATTTCAATCCAGCTTTGACAAATAATAATTGTAACAGAAAATAACAAATCATCATCACAAGGTTAAGAATTGGATACAGAAAACTTACCTATTCAACTAAGCAACGCTACTTTTATGTACTCAATGCAACGACATAATTGATATTAAGCATTTATTGATAGATTGATTCAAATTTACTATAGTCAAAGAAAAAA